GTGGTTAGTTATTCTGAAACATAGGGTTTATCTTTTAGATAAGTTTTCTGAGGTATAGAAGGTCTTCTACCTCTAACGCGAACACCTTCAATATATAATTCTACAATCTTCTTTCTAAACTAGAATGTATCATTATCAAACACTGAAGGAGAGGGTCTTCGATTTTAATGAAACTTAGGACATGTAGTAGAATACTTGTTCTTTACAAATCATCCTCCATATAGAAGCAGATACTGGAGAGCTTCCGAATCATTTACTTTTCAAGCTTCCCACGTGACTTAAGTACAAGTCAGGACGATACACATATACCTTCCTTTTCATTAGAAACTACAGTAAATTCTCGATGAGTATTCGAAGGCTCCTCGACAAAGAACGTTAAATATTTCATAAACTAATGGCCATATGTGGCTGAAACAAATATCATTGGCTTCAGAATTCGAAGCTCGATCACTGTGCTAAAGCTATATAATCACAAAGTCAGCGTTACACCTGCAGACCTCTCCATGTCAATGCCGAGAAGCCTTTAAATATTCATCGAGAATTTACTGTACAGCGAAAAATATCGCCGATATTTCTCTTCAGTCGGACACCAGTCCTGTCCCAAATAGCGACCACGTTCCACCATACAGATCAGCTTTAAAACTTCATTTCCCGTCGTTCGTCCAGATTGTACCCGACCGAGAATCGAGCGGCGAGGATATCGTCTGCGAAAGGAGCCCTACACGCGTTTCTCCTTTTTCTTTGTTTTAAGATCGGGTCCGTGAGAGAGTTCGCCGGTTGTTTCCCGGATGGGAACCACGACCACCAGCGATCACGGTTCATTTCGTCCTGCTCTCCACGATCCCGGCCAACTCCTTGTATTTTCCCTCTTGCCGTCTGCCCGACTCACCGCGGTTCGTTCGCCTTCCTCCTCCTCGACCGTTCGACCGACCTTCCCCGAGAAAAACGAGAAAATAGCCGGTACACGCTCGTACGAACCCATAAAAATCACGCTCCTCCTTTCCCTTTCCTTCTCCCGAGCCGCGATGGATTATTGACTTTGCGTTTGTCGGAGTTGGGACGGGCGGGTGGCTGAAGATATCTTCCTCTGGATGGCCGAGCGCGCGCGTGCAACGTCCCTCTCCAATCTCCCATGGTTTTTCTTTCGCAGATTGAGGCCACATGGGTCGCATATTGGATCGAGATTCGCCGGAAATCGGAATGTTTGCCTCTCGAGTCGACTCGGACGTCTTCATCGACGGTGGGAAGGGTGGTGGATGGAAGATGGTCTCCGGGGATTGACTAACTGGCTAGTTGGACCACGGTTCCTTATCGATAAATTCGTTTCTATTCGCGTTCAGATTGTTCCTGGGTATAAAGATAACGATTCTTCACGGCGATCGAGCAATTCCGTGGAGCTTAATAGATTCTCGGTTCGAATCATGGGGATCTTGAGACCAAATCGTCGAAGAAGTGATCGCGAATCGGAACAGGGAAATCAAGGGGTTGTTCGTTTGTAGAAGGAAAAAAAACACATATACAGTTTGTCGGGCAAACGTCGCAGTTGGGACAGAAGTTTGTGCTTAAATGATTAAACCGAAGCTTTGTTCCATCGGCTACGTGGCTCGTGGAACACGACGAGCACAGCGCGAGATCGCGGCGACTGGAAGCCAAATTGGAAACCGGCAGCGGCGTGGCCCCCAAAAGTACCGGCGGCTACGTATGTACAACCGTACAGACGGTCCAGACACACGGGGCCAGAAGCTCTAAAATCTCTTGCAACACGGTAAAACGCGCACATGCGAGAGAGCTCAAGGGTAGGAAACGCGGCGACGGGGCTAGAACAGAGACGGGGCTCGTGACTAAACGAGCAGAAAGCCAAAGCAACGCCACGTTTGGCCAGTATTCGACGCGTTACCGGCGGGTTTAATTACTCTCTTCATAGAGACACTAAATATACGACTGTCTGTGAGATTGTGAGCTGGACGTACTCGACGCGGTGCAGTTCGGACGGTGGAACGAGCGCGCGGCCGCTCGTGTGCCTGTCATAGAAACGATAATTACGGTCGCGAAGCTGGCTTCTGTAACCGTAATGTTGCCCGTCTAATTCCAACGTCGATCGTTTTCCGCTCGATTTCGTTCCAATCGCGACGCTTCACTGATTCGCTGCGCTTATACCGATGAAAAGAGACTCGTTGAAAATCCGAGGGGCTTCTCAATCGGTTCACCTGTCGTCGACGAGCATTCATCCATCGGTTTGACTTCGCTCGCAATGTCTAGTCAGTCCCTTGTACTTTTTAGTAACCTATTTGCATCATTTGAATAAAATGAAAAATAGACCCTTGGCAACGAAATTTTTTTTTATTAATTCTAATTACAAATATCTCCGGAAGTATAAAGAAACTTAATAATTTCATTGATTTGAGCAATCTAGACTGATTGTTTTGTACCGTGTGATGCGTGTGTATGTACCGTTTCCTTTTAATAACCAGGAAAATTACGCGTGTACATACGCTAATGATGCAAATGGGTCTGTGGTAGTATAATAATAATTAATTAATTTTATTAATTCATGGAACCGTAATAGTATACCTACATACACAGTTTATAAGTAAACAAGTTCTGATATTCCAGTCGTAGTAGTACTCTGAATAACAATATTGGAAAAACGTATGACGCGATAAAAAAAACCCTGTAGCGTGTGTTTTAATATAAACCCCATCGAACATCCCGTTGATTCCGTGCAATACCGCCAATATCAAAGAATCATCGGTTCAACAAGTCAAACGCACCGTTCGAGTATCCTGGAGATATTCTTTAATTCTCCCATAGCGAGATCGACACTTCAAGGTTTGGCTCTATGCCGCGCTCGTGACCGAGCTTCGTCCTTCATTCGTGGAAATTTCGTTTTCCGAGCGAGATCCCTTCCCGCGCCGCGGAAACGAAAGGCACAAAGACCGGGAAGACAAACGAAAGCCGGTACTCGGTTGCTTATAAAGCCGCCTGCAAAACAATGTGGCTCGTCTTTTAAAGGAGACAGACCCGACCGCTGTCCCGTTCCATCGAGCGCGGTTGGGTTTTCTCCGTGCTCACCCAACCCCCGCATCGCCCCGTTTTAATTAGCTTCACCGGGCCGGGTAAACAATAAGCCCTTATATTTCTGATGAATTAATTTTCAACAATTCCGACGACCGACTCGCGCGCAACCCACAAGCAACGGTTTAGTGTTCCTCCTTGTAACAGGCATCCCCCCCCCCCTTTTTTTTATTAATGCTATCTCGAGTAGGTGTCTTACTGAAATTTCTGGGTTGCGAGCTCTATCAGCGTGGTAAAACAAGCGTCGAATAATTTCGACACATTTCCAAACCAAGTAAGAAGATGGACGGAACATTGACACTGTTATACATATACAGAGTGCAGCCGAATAACATTTACAAACGGGTACGAGGTGATTTCTTATGAAACAATTGGAACAAAATATGGAATAAATTTTCATTTAAGGCTTAGTTTTCAAGAAAATCGAATTTGAAAATCTAATAGATACGGGGGCAATTTAATAAGACTGGGCTTTAAATTAAAAAAAATTTTTTAATGTTCACCTATGTATTTCCAAAAATAAACACTAATAAAATCTAATGATTTATGGTTCTACTTTTTGTAAAAAAAAGAAGTCCTATACTAAAACTGTTCAGTACTACATAAATCTAGTCGAATTGAATTAAAATAATAATTCAGTTCGTGTTCGTTACATCGCGACAGAAAGGAGCGTTCCGGTCGGTCGTATAACTTCACCTGCACCTACCACAATAGCCCGTTATTACTTATCAATCATTATTAATCGTCTCGATCCGATCTGCCTCGGTCTACCCGACTTACTTCGTGGCGAGCGACTGCAGTCGCCCATAGTACACACATGTCGCTTCGTAACAAACGACTACAATTCTCCATAGTATCGATAAGGTTAAAGGGGTCCAGGTAACACGAACGCAGGCTCACATTTCTCTGTTCGTTGTAACGTTACCACATTTAAATGTTCTCTTCGAGAGTTCCTCTGCGATTACTTCCACTCTCCCCACGATCCAGAACACTTCCACGTCCCCGATCGATCCGCCCCTTCATCCCCTCGAGGTAAAACCACTTCGACGAGCGACCAACGAATCCGTGAATCCTTCCCGAAAGGAATATTCAAGCGGAGGACGGTGGATCGCGCGCGAGCGTGGCCAGAAGGACCTGTCGCGACGGTGGAAAATCCGACCGCAGGTAACGGGAAGAGGAACGGGCAAGGACAGAAGGAGCAACCGCGGCAGCTTATAGCGGAGCGAGACGCTCATCTGCATTTCAAATCGACCGCCCTCATCCAAGATTTCCGCGCGCTCCCGTTGCTGGAACGTCCCTACAAGTCCGTACGATTCGTATGCAGGGTGTAACAAAAATATCGTAGGTCCTTGAAATGGGTCACTCGTCAGGTGATTTGGAACAAATTTTTCCCCAGGAAAAACTTGTTCCAAATCACCTCACGAGTGGCCCATTTTAGGGACCTGCAAACAGTTTTGTTACACCCTGTATACACGCCCCGAGAAACAGACATACACACGCAATAGGGGATGTCACACGACGACGATGCCTCGGCTCGCGTGTACTGCTCACGCCAGGACGGAACGCGATACGATGGATTCGAGAGATCGGTTTGGTTTACTTGCGGTGTTCTTCCTCGCGGGGGGTGGTATCGAACGCAGGCGCGGATTTACGGTAAACGGCGGACAAACGAGGCGGCCGGAAGTCGAGCACGCTTCCGGCCTCCAGGCCGAACCAGGCGGCCGGATTACGTGTTTCTGTCCGACGATTAAACCGCGTGGAAATTCTATCAAGGGGCAGACAAATGGCCGCGGCACGGCCCGCTCCGGGACCGCCGAATACACGACGTTAATTAGCTCCCTCTATCTCTCTAACTCCCCCGGAGGAAGAAGAAGCTTGCACGGCGAAGACACGAGAAACGTGATAGCGTGAGATAATAAACTTACCTTGCCGACACCGGTCAGCTCTTTGACGCCTATCCTCCGCAACAACGCCGGCGGTGCTGGTGGCGGTGACCTGAGTAGGAGGGCAGCGTATCCATTCGGGAAGATCGGTTGCTCGTCCGAGACGATGTTCTCGTCGCCGGAGCGACGTCGACGATGAGGACTCGACGAGAGATTCAACTTCTGTGCTGCTCTGGAACACCGAAGAAAATCTCGGTTGCAGAAACGTTTGTTCTTTGATACGTGCAGAATGATGGAGTTTTTACTTATTGAGATAGTATCGTGATGGAATACCCTTGTTCAGGTGTTTGGTAGTGACGATATAAGTATTTACACGTTGACTTGAATATCCATTACTTTCATTATTACTCTAGTTACGAATTTCCACAATTATTTACTTGTCCCTTGTTTTGCTCACTCCGTTTATGGAATTTATCCTGGGATAAAGATTTCGATGTCTTTACTGAATTGTATTCGATGTTTAATAATACACATTTAAATAACGTGTGGAACTGGTAGTAGGACGAAGTGACTCGACAACTGGTTGTATGAAACTGGCACCGAGCTCTCCAATGCGAGCCTTTTAAAGATTCTCATTTCCACCCCCTACCCTCGGGGTAAAAAAAATTCAAAAGGACCGTCTTTGGGCCATTTCCCACCATTACCATGTGCTGAGCCGAGTTCAGGTACAGCGTAATTTGTCCAACGCGAGAAAACGCCGGAGACATGACCCGGACGCAACACCCCAATGTTCAGAAATCTTCAAAGGGCAAGTTAATTAATTACGATGACCCTGGGTGGCCCCATATACAACGCTCGGGAACAACAATATTTTCTCAAACATTCTAATAGTTTCATTCCCCGAGAAGAAAAGATGGTCGTAGCAATTATAATGTGGGACTGCAAAAAACTTTTAGCTAAGACTTATTGTAAGCGCGTGGTCTTTAGTTTAGAAATCATTAATTTATTGCAAGGCCACCCGCAGAACAAATGGTCAGCAGAAGCTGCATACCGATGTCATTGCAAAAACGCGAGGCCAGCATTCTTTTAGGAATACATTTTAGTGTTAGTTTTAAAGGTATGAGGTATGAGAAAGAGAAATGGGTGACCTGGGTGATTGTTGGGTAGAAGGATGGCAGTGTGAATTTTAACGCTAACGAACAGTATGGATTTGAGAGACAACGAACCAAGCGTCATACCCTATAGTTTTACATTTAGTTAAACATATACACTACGTGGCATAATTATAAAACCACTCTAAAATTTTCAATCCTTATGTATGGTGGTTAAAATAAAAATGAACCCTTCTTTAGGGAATATAATGTATCCTTTTTTGCAGAAACATTATTTTTCGTTTTTATTTTAATCAAAACTCATAAGAATTGAAAATTTTAGGGTGGTTCTATAGGCATACCACGCAGTATAGTTCTGATTTAAATTACATCTGACTACTAGCCTTGATCACAATAACCATCCAAATCCTACCTGTTTAGGAATTCAATATTTCTTCGTGCAATTCACCGGCACCGGTGATCGCTGACCACAATTGCATTCAACGTATCAAATTAAGCTGCCTACACTAATCCCGACAGAACCCCCACCAACGTTCTCTTTCCTCCGTTATTCAAATTCCATCTTCAGATCGACCGCTCGATCAAAGCCCCACGAAGACCTCACGAAAAATCTAATTAACCGAAGGTACACGCGAGTTCCCCGAAATTCCTCAATATCCATGGAGAATTCGCATCGCGAGCAGCCAAGAAGACAACGTCGTCGCCTGCAACCTCCCGTGCATAATAAACCTTTTACAGCAAGGAATCCAATATCATACGGGGTCGCGCTCAGACGGCCGAGACCCAGGTTGGAAACCCCCGACACTGAATCTCAGAAGAACGGAGCTGAAACAGGTCGTTGGTAGGTTCGTATACGTACGTTCGTTCGTCCCGAACGCTCCTTCCTGCGATACCTATCTCTCCCACGGATACGGAGCCAACGGAGTGGGAAAGGGTCGCGCAGGATTCTGGAAGGTATGCGTCTCGAGGGTGACTGGGTGACATACTCCGCGGGGCAGCCCGGTAATCAGCGAAGGTAATGTGCCGGAACCCCCTACGCGACAGGGTACCGCGTTTAAAGGGGTGCACCGTCGAGGGAGGACGGAACGGAGTTGGGTTGTGGAAGGGGTGGAGGTGAGCCGGGAGGGGGTGAAGAGGTGTAACACAGTGGGACCATCGAGCTTCACTTTTGGTGGAGGAGAGGGGGGCAGAGAACGTTCCGGGGGCTCGGTCGCCCTAACTTCTCCAGCCCTCGGGCCTCGTTAACCCACGCTCTGTGAAATTGGAAATACCAACGAGAGAGCGAGACCCGGTCGACAGAGGTGGAGAGGGGAGTGGTTGGTCTCCTCTCTGGCTGGGCGAGAGAACGAGTCCCTCGTTTTGCGGCATGCCCGTGTAAGCGTTTGCGACCGTCGTAGTGGCGGGGCGTGATAAAAAATAGAAAGGGCCGTGGACACCGACGAGGTGGTAGTGGGGAGACACGGTCCGGTTATCAACGTTTCCCGCAGCTTGCTAACGCACACCGCGCGCAGGCACAGGACTTCCGGGGCCGTATTACGTTCGAATAATCCTCGCGCCGTCGTTTACAGCGCACGTCGACTCTCATGGACCGAGGCTAATAGTCCTCGCGACCACCGTGAAAAGATACCCGGTGCCAGACCGAACTGGAATCATATTTTTAGGGGTTATTTTCTTCTCTTTTTTTTTTTGTTCACGCCCCGGTAGTGCGTTCCGGGCGCGCGAGGACGGTGCAGCGTAAAAATGTTCGCCGTTTAGACCGCATCAGCAGCTACCGGTGATCACTTCTGGCGGGAACACGCAGTCGCTGCGGTTCGGAGAGTAAAAGTATCGTTGGTTTTATAAAGTATTGATATGCTGGTACGCGTGACTTTGTTGCGGTATAGGTTTTAATACTTTGACTGCTATGTCACCCAAGGACGGGTGACACGTACATTGCAAAAAGGCTGGATTATTTAAATACTGTTAGAAAAGTTTTGCGTAAAACTTGTATCTTTAAACAACGGAATAAAATTCTCCGCAAGCGTCTGAAAATTTGTCGAGGCTTTGAAAACAGTGTTAAGGGCGTCAATGTAATCGAAGTCGCCTGTAATTGATTTCTATTAGCGTGAGAGGTCTTACTTGAGAGAATTGGAGAATTTACGGGGTCGTAGCAGGGACCGAAATCATTCGTTTCGCCGCTAGCAAATCAACAAGCCCCTTTCCTATCGGACTCAGCGTCGACCGCAGAATCGTCACGCCACCGGGGTCCTCCCGTTCGTCGACGCCCCATTCCGACTTTTATGCCCGCTTTAATTATTTGAACACCCCGTTTCAGTTCCGAGCCGGGATTTTACGAACCGGAACATCAACGCACGAATCATTGGTGGGATTCACGAGCTGGTCACTGAATACGCGGTTCGTTTTTATCGTAGAACAGTTCGTTTTTTTCCACCACTAGTAGCAACGTTGATTTCTCGTCAACGATGCGTGGAAGTGGAGTTTTTTTCCGTCGAACTTTTTTTCAGTTCCGTTGCTTCATGACTCCCGTGCGAAAAGACGGGATCTGTCCAACTGGAATTAACTGGCAGTGGTTCTTGGGATGACCAATCGATCAGACCCAAGAGGGCTGCAGAAGGGTGAGGGCAGAGGTAGCGAACGAATGCGAGAAACTTATTTTACTCGGTCAAATATTTAAACGGGGAAAGTAAGTTTCGGGCGAAGGGAAACTTCGGATACTTTGCGACAACCAGACGCCAGAGTCAACAGCACGATCGAGAAAATGTAGTTGAGAGAAAGTACGTTCATACGACACTTTTCTCCGCGACTTAGCGAGTCTACTCAATCAATTCGCTTAATATTTATCCCGCTGGCTGAGGGACGAAGAGGTTATTTTCCAACGGCTTTTCGTTTCGAGAGGAAAAAAATAAGTCGTATCTTTCAGCTCGCACAGCGCCACGGGAATCCGAAACCGAAGCGGTGGATTCGAGTGACGCAGGTGCGCGTCCCGGAAACGCAATCTACGCATCAATCACTAGGAACAGATGCGTACCGGTTGTCGCGCATTCTCAATCTTCGACGGAAGGTCATTTTCCGACGTGCCAATGATCGCCAATTGTCCGCGATATCGTGAACTAAAGGAGAACGCCGCTAAAGATGCAGAGATTGCATCTTGTGAAAGTGTTCTCCGTGAGCTTTTTATACATACAATTATACAATCACGACTCCTAGTAAGGATGGTAATACATCGCGAAAAATACCCTCCAATTTGGAAAAATCAGATCCTTTCAGATTGTACCATTACACAATTCCTTCTGGAATCGTCCATACAATAGAAATCACCAAGTCAAAATGACCTTGCAATTCATCTGTCACGTTCGTCCTAAACCATCCACTTTCCGAAGGTTAAGAGCAGCCAAATCGTTTTTCATGCGCTTTTCTCCCCACCGATCCAGTCACCGATGTAACCCCGGTGTTTACATCCTACAACAAATACGTACAACAATAATAAAAAAAAATATATTTCACACGCAGCTTAAAAATTGTTGTAACGGCAATAAAATCAATCGATCACGGATCGACTATTTGCGTCCCGTCAGCCAGACAGACTCTCGAGCGAAACAATGAAAAAGTATCTCCCCCGAACTACACGGACCGTTGTCGCGTTACTTAACGGCGGGCGCGGGAGCGTGCTCGCGGGTCCCATCGATTTCGTCAGCCGACAAAGCGAATGAGTTACAAGGCATTAAAACGACGGGCACACCGTTGTAAAAATGTTCTCCCGCGTAATCGGATTGGGAGCTGCATCGATCACTCGTCCAGCTGACCGTTGCCCGACGTTGACGGACATCGTCAGGGTCGCGTCGTCGCTGCGATCATAAATTTCCCCCGTCAACCTCCTCCTCCTACTGCTTTCCGTCCAGTTTCATTCTTCTTTTTTTTTTTTTTTTTTTTATTCGGTAACGAAAGTATCGAGAGCGAAGGGGAGGCCGACCAGAGCGGCGCGTTCTCGCGCGCTCGTAATTCGCACGGAAATTACACGCTTAATTCGCGATGTTATTTACGAGCCAGCGGACACCCGCGCCCTCGCCCTCTAGCCCTCTGGTGGCCACCATTGCGTCGCCGCCTACCCCCTCCCTCCATTCCGTCCTGTATCCCCGCCGCCCTTACTTGGCAACTCGCCACGTATCTCGGCTTAATCAAGGAAATTATGGCGCGAAGCGCTTTAAACGTCGGGGGCCGTTAGTAAGGTCGCATATCTCCTACTCCGACGCGTCTGATACCAAGAAGGGGGGAAGGGGGGCGAACGGGAAT